AGCAAGAAAGTGTGTGTATGGAGGGGTTGGGGGGGCGGGGGGGAATCACACACACTATCTCACTTTCTCTCCCTTGTGTCCGGGCAAACACGGCACCCCACCGAGAGCAGAGCCGACGCACGGACCAAAACAGCCTCGTGTGATTAACAGAGGGAACACGAGTGGGTGTGCATCTTTTTTTTTTTTTTTTTTTTGGTTGTTTCTGCCCCTCGCCATGTTGCATGATCAGTCGCTGGAGTGTGCGCCGGGTGAACGAACGGTGGACACGTCTGATCTTGCAGCCCATCAAAAGCACCAGAGACTTGTTCCCTTGTGGCCACGCAAGCGGGGGGCCCCTCACATCAACACGTCTCTGTTCAGTAGACAGGAAAAACAAGAGTGCGGAGGAGGAGGAGGAGGAGAAGAAAGAGGAGGGAAGGGGGAGACGGAAACACAGATGAAAGAATTCATGAAGAGGCCAGAGAGGAGCGTGAAGACGCCTCGGAACCACGCTCATCGCTCGGGAGCTAATTGAGCAGCAAAAGTCAACTCTGATTTTTGTACAACCTGTGATCCTTTCTACAGAGAGCAGACGCCGGCCTGTGAAGAAAAGAAACCAAGGAGATGTTTACAGGTTAACCAGTTGTTTTCTTCTATAGGATCTCGAAAAAAGCGAGGCCAAGAGGAGGAGGGAGGCAGCATGTTCCTACTTGTCAGCAGTGTGGTTTAATTGTCAAACTTGTGCTGTAAAGTGAGGTTGTTGTCATCTGCAATGATGGAGTCAATGTTTTTTTTTTTTTTTGCTTTACATCATGCTATAATGTCATTCCTTCATCAAAAACACATGGAGTGTTGCCTTGACTTTTATGAATGTTTGAGAAATCATTTAATCTCTTTGTTGCAAATATTCAGACATGCAAAAGGCCTGGTGGAACTGAGCCCCGCCTTCAAGGATGAAGCTCCTCCCCCACTCAGCTCCTTCAGACTAGCAGACACCTGGTGAAAGTGACCATCAGCTGCTTGTCGGCGTATTGCCGGTAAAGAAAGTTGTTAAAGATTAATAGAGGAGCCATGTTGTGATTACTTCAGAAAGAGCAGGATCTTCTTAAAGAGACAGAGGCCCAATTTCAAGGCATTAAATTACAAAGTCACATTTCTTTTAAGTTATATTTGATATATATACTATAGTATTTTCATAACAACTGAAGGTAGCATAGCAACTTGATTGTACTATAAAAAGGCTCTATGTGCCCAGAAAATCCATGATACTGCCCCCCTTTAATCGAATAATGAAAGAAATAAAAAAAAAAAAAAAAAAAGTGGCTTTATGGCTACCAGTCTTTGCCCCATCTCAAGGCCTGATAGTAATAAGACTAATAGCAACAAGAGGAATAGGAATAAAAAAATGCATCTTGCAGTGATTTCTAGAAAATTGTATTAGGTTATTTTAGAAAAAAATAAATAAAAACATTCATGATAAGCAAACATGAAGAATATTAATTTATTATAAGTCTTACAGCAATTTCTGGAAGGCAGCCTTATTCACAAGTAGGAATACACGGATCAAAATCAATACACAATTATTCTTGACTCGTGTCAGATCCTAAGAATAATAATAAAACAATAATAAGCTAATGCCTTTACCCAAGGGCAAGGCCTTCTTCACCGTTTTATAAACTCACTGCAAATTGATTTTCTTTCCAGAACAGGTAAAGGAGTCATTTCTGAACCATCTGTTTACCTATTCCAGGAAAGCAGCTCGACTCGCATCTCTAATGCGAGGGTAGAATAACCCAAAGCCGTTATTTCTGCCCTTCTGAGTTTCATTTGAACACTTTGAGGTCTATAAACAGCTGATAGTGGCCAATAAAAAGCGTGTCTGTTGTTAGAGGGGCTTTGATTTATTTTATTGTTATGTAGTTCTCGTTTTATAGAGCAGTAAAAACTTAAGAGTTACAAATAACTAAAATACCAAACTCTGAATTGGACTCTGACGGAAACAATTTTCGCACTCATCTGTTTATAGTTTGCATGTTTTGGTCGGCTTTCAACGTTGTCGTCATCGGCAACAGATCCACGGCTCCCACTCGACTCCGGCGAAACGTTTCGTATTTAGCAAACGGGCGAGAGGCGAATCGATCCTCTCCTCGACTCCCGGCAGAGGAAAGCGCGTTTCCCCTCCCAGAAGGATTCTCTCCCTCCCTGTATGAACTCTGTAATGGAGGAAGCAAGGATCGCTCCAGACGCGGTGGGGGGTTTCACTCAGAAACCTCCGTCTTGGTCACTCGGGAGACACATCGCGCAATAAATCACGTCGGTTTAAACGGAGATCTCGGAGGCAGTTTATTAAACAAGTCGATGTAACCCTGTCAAGTTTGCAGCTCCATCAGCTTCCAGGTGCATCGGGGGCCGAGTGAGGGGGGGGCTTGGCCCCAGATTCGGGATCTCTTTCCTCTGACTTCCAGATGTTTGCTCCGGTTTATGTCACGCTGGTGTTCTTGGAAGCCTTTCCCCCTGACAGCATTAACACAAACTAAAACACAAAAGAGACGATGGAAATCAAAGATTTTTAGATCGGTACAAACTTGTTGTGTTTTTTTTTTTCACTTTGTTGAAGAATGCAAAGGCCTGCAACCTAAGCCTCAGGAAAAGAGATAAATGTACTTATCTAACTTATCTGATGAAGGAAGGATGCCAGAACCTCCACCGTAATTTATGACATACGTCTGTGTAAGGCAGCAGCAGCGGCCGGGTGATAAAGGACAATAAATCATTTGGTGGAGAGGCGATGTTCAACATCTCTCTTCTACAAAGAACTTTTAATAGCAGGACTTATTCATGTCGAAGAAAAACAACTATAAATCTGGCAAATACAGATACAAAGAACAGCTACGTATGTCCAGTTATAAAAAAAAAAAAAAGCTGATATTCCCCGTACAATTATTCACACAAATGCAAAATGATGCAATAACGTTAAAGAGGGACCCGTTTCTGCTGCCCGTTGACGCCCGTGGGCTGATGGAGGGCTTGACCGGCTTGGCGACGCTTTGTCTTCAGGCTGGAGAAACCCAGCGTGTCTAAAACGCTGCTGAATCCAGATCCTTCAGAGTTCTCTGCACAAAGCAACAAACAGCAGACAGAAAAACAAACAGTCAGCAAGGATGCGTCCCTCCTCTGCTTCAGAGGAACAGTTTGAGATTTTCGTAGCAGGTGGACGCGGTGCGAATGTTTGGGTCGAGTATTTGCTTCCAACTATTTTCCTACAGCCACCCGGTGTCTGTAGGGTCGTAGCTGGTGTCCAAGGTTCTTGGACAGCAACCTGTATGTTGCATCAAAGTTCAATAAACGTGTTTGGTGCGTCTCTAAAAGTAACCTCTCTTTTCTATGAGTTCAAAGAAAGAACCCAAAAAGCTCAGTGAAAGTTCAAGCAAAGACACTGGTAAGTACTGAGAAAGTAACCATTAAAGTAATTAAAAGTTCAATGAAAGTACCTGATCTTCATGGTACGTTTTGGGAAAGTAAACAGTGAGTTCCTCTGAGTATTTTTTTTTTTTTAATTTCCCTGTTAAGCTCCAGAAGTATCTTGCTGAAGTCTGTAAAGTAATTTTTATCCACCACAAAGAACCAGGTAAGTTTCGGAAAGCAACCTTTCAGCTGCAGGAACCACTAAGATCCATTAAGACTTCTGAATCGACCCAGAAAGTTCCTAAGTAATCTCTTGTTCCTTGGGAAGTTGCATCCATTTTACAGGAAAATAACCTCTAAACATTACTGAAGTACCCTTGAGGTTCTGGTGAAGTTCGGCTTCTCCTCACCGTGAATCCCAATCATGTGCTCCAGGATCAGAACCCGCTCGGCCAGGATCTTCAGGGCCTCTCGGAGCTGCTGCACGGCTTCACCCTGAACGACACCATCCCCTTTAATAGGATTTGTTTTCAAAACAATAAAAGTAAAAAATCTGCCCTGCAATGCCTCTTACCTCGTTCAAGCTCACTCCTGGCTCTCCTTTTGGCCCCGGTGTTCCCTGAGAGGGGAAAGAAATGAAGGTCATCACCTTCAGGATGTTCGGATGTGTGAGGTTTAAGCATCACACTGACTAAACTTACAGGTAGGCCCTGCTCTCCTTTGGCACCTGGCGCCCCCTAGAGGAGGAATAACATTAGTTACCAATATTTCTAAACCCTAAAGAGGGGAGGTAATCCACCTCTTCACCAATCTCAGATCACACACGCATTGGAAAGAGATCAGCTTTAGAGGCGGAGGACCCACTGGAGACCTGACTCCAGATCAAACATGGCGGCCCTGATTAGTGCGGCCTGGACGCGGAGGAGAGAGGAGGATTAGTCATGGGTTGGAGAGAGTCTTTGAAGAAAAGCTTGTTCTCCTTTAATGTGTCCACCGATGCATGACGGGGTCATTTACAAAACTAAAGAGCGCTCACGTTATTAATAAGCACCAAATACGTTCAGACAGCCCGATAATCCAATAATGAGGGTCATTTTTACCCTTTCCCCTGGATCTCCTTTCGGGCCGGGACTGCCATGTCTGCCTGGAACACCCTCCCTACCCTGGATTCACACAAACACAGGCGTGGGCATTAGCGGTGCCGTCTGAGACGACCAATTATGACTAAGTGAGAAAGACTTACGTCCCGTCCTGGGAGACCAGGTGTCCCTGCGGGTCCTCGTTCTCCAGGGGAACCTGCAGTCCCACACACACACAAACACCATTAAACATTACTAAATGCTGACGCCGTTTGGGAAATATGCAAGAATCTTGTCAAACTCTTGGTTTTTGTATTCCCATAGAGATTATTCCTGGTTCAGTCTTCCTTGTTCGACTCTTTCTCTCCACATGCTTGACTGGATTGCTTTCTTAGGCAACTTTTAAAACAGTTGATGTTAAATGATCAGCTGCTTCCAGATGTTCTGTGTGTTATTTAATCTGAGAATGAAAAGACGGATTGATATAAACCTTTCATATCGGTCAATATTGACAATTATTCATTTTTTTGTTTTGGACACCTGAAATGCTGCCAAACTGGCGACGTGACCTTTCCCTTACTCAGTAGGTTGTTGCTAGGTAACCAAAGACTGAGAGTTGCTAGGTGACCAAAGAATGAGCGAGTTAGTTAATACCGCCCACCTTGCTTAGCTGGAAATTGAGCAGCTAACGTTTTTTCCTCTGCCTACATCCCCCAGAATGCTGTGCGGTTCTGGATCGGATCTTTTCGACTTGTCTATCATTGCTACTGATTTTTTTTTTTTTAATCCAGGCAAAATTAATTCAGCTCAAACTGGAGTATTTGGCGCGAACTAAAATAAACGGAATAAACCTCTTGAGGCTGCAACATGTCCTGATTTAAGGATTCATACAGCCTGCGGTGTATAATTCATAAACATTCACAGAAAAACAATAAACATATTCTGCTACGATACAGTGTCACGACTTCAACACCGCCTTATTTTTCTGGGTAAATCCTGCAGTCTTGACGCTACGTGTTCGTAATGACACACTCAGCCAGCTACAGGACATGATATGATACACATGCATAATGTATCGAGGCCACAATGTGCAGCTTTTCCTCCAGCATGCATACAGGAAGCGGCTCGTGTTCCTACCCGGGGGGCCGAGGGGACCAGTGGGACCGGGAGGGCCGACTTCGATCCGAGGCGCAGCGAGACCCGGACGGTTCAGGTCCTCCTCTGAGGGGAAACATGAGCGTCAGCCACAACATTTTAACCGTGCTGCTAGGAAGCAGCCCCAATGTTTTCATGACCGTGCGACGCGGAAGGTTTAATTATGTCCCTCGTGAGTCAAATGATTTGAACTGAAATGAAATGATCATAAATCTCCAGAGGAAATTACACAGAGATAAACAGCTTCTTAAATAAATGCTGCCATGAATCAGCGTCGGGTTCATTACTGAGAGGAGTCCGCCCACGACGCAGCAGACAAAAAAAAATACCCATAATTCCTCTGTCTCTGGGTTACCGAAGCTCAAAGACCGAAAGGCTGTACAAACAAAACCAAAACAAATGCTAAAATGCTGTCGTCTAATTATAATTGTTCAATATTGGTAATTATTATTATTATTTTTTTTTACACTTTTCCATACTCTCCCTGCAGCTTTAATGAGTACAAATGGCAACGACGGAGCAGGTTAGATGTATCCCAAACGATATAATGTAGAATATGAGAAGTTATAACTTATTCAGCAGGATTATTAATACAGTCTGGCCACCAAAGTGCATTATGCGATAAAATAAACATGTGTCTGTTCTTAAAAGGCTAATGCATGTGGAAGAGTGATTCAAGATTCAGTTTTATTTATTCCCTGCGTTGAAATGCAGAGATAAAGTTAATTCATGAGAAACATTTTGACACAGCTGTGCCGCAACGTCTTCTTAATAGCAGTTCAGACGCATTGCTGACTTGTTTTTAATCGCATCATGCAAAGAGAAGTGACCCATAAAGAGCAGACCCTGCATTAGTCTTAGTTTGGTTTGTATGATAAACTGGTAATTTATCCATTTTAATACAGAATCTGGCTAAAGAGTCCTTCCCCACTCATATGAATCTTTGCACATTTTGTCACTTTGCAACCACATTTCACCCCTACTATGTCTTTATTTGGATATTTATTGGATACACACACATGGCAGAAACTTGACACACACTTTTAAGCTTTTTTAAATATATATAATGTTGCGAACTTGGATTCAAGACCAGCGAATGATGAATGGAGAAGAAGTCTTTGAATTGCAGGTGCTTCTTTATTGCCTACTCAACCAAACTAGCACGAGTTCATCCAACTCGTACTCTCAGGCAGAACAGAGCGGTGGCGAAAGTGGAACATGTGACTCGTTCTTTCATGGTGAATTCCCCCCACAATGCCAGAAAAGGTGTGGCTATCTGACTGCAAAGACCACAAAACAAATGACTGTAATTTCTGTACCGAACCAACACCCAGTTATAGAGTTCAAGTCAAACAGAACATAATAAAGGGTAAATTTAGAGCAGCAACCCGCAAAGCAGCCTGGTAACACTCTATCAGCTCCCCGACACTTTGTTTTGCAGATAACTGGCCCTCGAAGTCTGCAATTCACATGCTTCAGCTGCGGTTTCGGCTGTCGGTCTTTGGCAAATATCTTCATCAGTTTTGTAAATCTAGACTGAAATTTAATTTGATTGTTCTTTTTGGAAAACAAGCCCAGTCAGAGTGAACTAAGTCACTCTATGCACAAAAATATTCAAGTCTTATCACAGATTCTTAAGTGGATGTGGTCCTGGACTTTGACTGGACCTGTCACACACATTAATGTTTCTAATTTAAACCATTCCCTTCTTGCTCCGGCTGTGTGTTGAGAGTCCAAGTCCAGTCTCGAGCCTTGTTCAGTCTCTGAGACTAGATTGTATTCCTCTCCATTGACTCTGAGCAGCTTGCTGTTAGAAACGTTTTCCCACGGTACGGCGCTGCCACCACCATGATGCACTGGTGTGTTCAGGGTCATGTCTAGTGTTTCTGCTGCACATGGTGTTTTGCATAAAGGTCAAAATGATGGTCCTAACTCATTCATCCTGTGTCTGCTTCATGATTTGCATCAACATGCAGGAAACAAACACGACTGCTTCTGGTTTTCTTTGTAACAACAGTGACTCTCTGGATTCATCATGAGGTTATTTTAGAAGTCATCATCTTTCTAAAGTAATGGTGGCCCTAAGTCTTTTTTTTTGCCAAAAATGTTTTTTTTTTCTTCCTAAAACATCTTTTGGAAAGTAAAAGGTGGTGATTTTCTTTCTTTTTTAAAAAAATTAAAATTACTTTTGGTTTATTGTAGGGATTATTGTAGGAAGGTGAACATTTTTAAAAAATGTTATTTAGGAACTTGGTAACTTCTGAAAGCGGCTGGCTGGACTGGATTATATTTAGAGGGATCAGAGTAAAAAGGGCCGACTGTAAATTCACACCACACTTTTCACATGTTTACATGTAAAACATGTTAAAAACTATGTTTGATGTTCCTTCCACTTCCTGATTGTGTGCTATTTTGAGCTGGCCAATCACATTTAAGTCAGTGGTTTTATCATGACAGAATGTGGGAAAGCTCAAGAGGGAGATAATTACTTCCAGGGCTGCACGCAGAGACACACACACACACAACCATCCACTCCAACTTTAGAGAGACCAGTAAACCTAATAGTCATGTTTACCCACTGGAGGAAGCCAGAATACCTGGGAAGAATCCACACAAACAAGGAAAACATGCAAACATCCCGGGCCGGGATCTTGTTGCTGCAAAGGAGAGGTGCTACCAACTGAACCAGCCTGACATTGACATGCATCACATGTAAGATACGTAAGAAATACGTAGATAACATTGAATGCCTGTCAACATAAAGGTAAAGGTAATTTTATTTATATAGCACATTTTCAGCAACAAGGCAGCTCAAAGTGCTTCAGTATGCATCAGCATTTCCTCCAGAAAGCCTGCTAAGCCTGGTCCATCAGCCGCGTTTCTGTGCTGAAAAATGTTAAAAGTTACAAAAATTCAGAGACGCATGAGCGAGCATCATAATTTGAGAGAGGGATGGCGCAACTGGTGTCCGTCTCTACTGTGTATTTAAAAAAACCTATTTAAAATAAACAAAATGCCTAGCCTGGTGGTTTTGGTGGGGTGAGGGGGGGGAGTACAGCCTGGTGGCCCGCCAGGCTTATAATACACTGAGGGAAATCCTGTACAAATACGTAAAACACATATTCTTAGCTTGCATTTAAAGTGTTCCTCTGAAATGAATGTTCCTGTAGATTTAAGTTTGGCCGTAGACGTCCGAAGCTCGGATGGAGCTGGATGAAGTTCCAGTGACGTTGGGGGAACAGCTGGGCGATCCGAACGACGTCTCGTTTCACGGTGCAGGAAATGTGATCAAACTTTTGACAAAACCCGCCGGACGTAGAAGTCCCGTCTTGGTTACAGCAAGTCGGGTCTTTCGAAGCCCGTTTGTGGGAATAAATTCAGTCTGAAACCACCTCACACTTCCTCACCACTTGAGCATATGCTCAGTGTCAGTCTCTCTCCCCCATGTTGAGACAGCCCTGTTACATTATGGCTGCAGTCCACGGGAATAAAAAAAAAAAAGGGGTCTAGAAGGAGCAGATTTCCCTCTGGAACTAATTTTCTAATGCTACAGTCTCCTCCAGTCTGGCCGCCTCCCAGAGAAACTCCACATGAGTGGCAGAACATCTCCTCCCATGTTCAAAGCCAGGCCTGCTCTTGGCTCCGAGCCGTGGTCAGTCCTCCAACCCCTCCACCCCCGACTCCCACCCACCCCAAACGCAGATTGTTGTGCTGACAGCTAACAAATTAGACCTGATTTACAGCCAGTTGCCCCCTCCCCCTTCCACTCCTCTGCCTTCACTTACACGGTCCCACAGACCCAAATGTTCATAGCTGCATACCCGCAGACACGGTCCCGGACTCAGAGAGACAGGCGCAGCCAAAAAAAAAAAAAGCCTAATCAGAGCCAGCAGGCCTCGTGAGGTAATGATTATTACACAGACTCCTGCTGCCTCCCTGTGGCAACACTCTAGTACTGGACGTTTAGAAAAATGATGCGTTCAGGGGCTCTTTTGGTTTTCTTTTTAGATCAAAAGGAATAATTACTTTGACGTGACAGACGGAGACAAAGCCGAGACGCCACGTTATAGTTATAGCGGAGAAAACAAGCAACAAGCCCGGTTTCTATGAGACACAATGCGGCGACACGTTCGGTCTTCATCTTTTCAAAGCAGCCACAGCTAATCTTGTGATTTATGCTTCGGCTTCACTGTTGGTGGCTTCTCTCATTAAAGCCCCAGTGTGTGGAGGCAACAACAACAGCAACGACACACAGAAGCAATAAAACTACAGCATCTTGCAAAACGATGGAGGCTCCTTTAACATTCTCACATTCTGTCACGCTACAAACTTCAATCTATTCTTTTGTTTTTATGTGTGCGACCGCAGTTTTCTTAAAAGTCTGATTCGGTGATGCCTTGTATTAAATCCCCCCTACTCCAATAACACACAATAAAATTGCCTTTAGATAGACAGACAGACTTTATTGCAGATTTTCCACTTAAACAGAGGTAAACAGAGTTCAACCCAGTGTAATCTAATCTCAGTCTCACTGAGATTAAAGGCCTCGGAGGTTTGTCGGAGAGCGTTGGCGAACAAATGGCTTGCTGAAGACGGAGGAGGCAGACAGCAGACAGGTCAGGGTGAAAGTTGTGGAGAAGGTTGAAGCGTGTTTGGCTAGTAAAAACAAAGTCCTAAACTTTGAACATGTCATGGAAATCACACAGAAAACCTGACCGCCCTAAACTGAACATAAATAAATCAAATTGAGAATCTGAGGCAAGACTTGGACATAGATGCTCACCGATGCTCCTCATCCTCTCTGACTGAGTTTCAGGTATTTTTGGGAATCTAGCGCAGACGTTTCAAGTTGGTGGAGACAATCTGTATCCAAACATCATGCAGCTGTTTGTGCAGCAAAATGTTTTACAAAGTATTTCTCACAGTTTTAGTTGTAAAAAATCTTTGAAAACCATGTATGGTTATCCACTACTTTGTGTTTATTAGATTACCGCGGTAATCCTAATAAATGAGACCGTTGGAAAAGACCACCAAGGGCTTGAATGCTTTTATTCTCTCTTCAGTAAAAATAAACTTGATAAACGCTTGTGTTTCCTGTACCACCTCCAGCACGAGTCCGTTCGGACCAGAACTCACATCCTGTGTGACGAAGCGATTTCTGCTAACGCATGAGGAGAAATGAGGCACATGGCTGACCGTGAACCGTGAAAAGGTCCTGCTTGTAATTTTGGCATCGGTTGTGTGTGACCACCCAACCAGCTGACGGTTTTTCGCAGCAGCTCTGGGGTCGGCGTTGAGCCATCAGACCCGGCTCAGGCCCGGCGCTCCTCACTCCCGTCCGTGCTAATCTGAGCACAACGCAGACGGCGCCGACAGCAGGTGCTAACTCCAGGAGAACGCAGTGAGGACGGCTCTCGTCAGAGGCGTCCTGGGACTCCTGTACCTGCTTAGCGGTGTGAAAGCGATCCGCCCTGAAGGACCACCCACCGAACATATCGAGCTTTTACTTGGAGATCTCTCGTCTCTTAAGAGATCACACTCTGCAATCTGGTCATTTAAAACTGTAGTTAAGTTTAACCTTCAGTTGTTTTAAAAATGCTCTACATACCAAATACGACTTAAAAGAAATCTGATTTATTTTTTCAAATTGGGCCTCCGTCTCTTTAAGAAGCTCCTGCTCTTGTCAACAGGTCATCACAACGACCTTTTGTCCGTAAAGCCCTTAACGACATTCTTACCAGCGTTTCACTGAGAGGCGGTTCCTATGGTGAGCTCAGCAGACGTGATAACTGCTGCTGCTGCCGCTAGTCTGGAGGAGATGAGTGGGGGAGAGCAGAGGGAGGAGCCACGTGGAAAAGGCAGCACAAAGTTAGACCATGCGATGCTGCACCGCTGAATGGTTGCCATGGGAGATTAAAGGATTTCTGAAAAACTCCTGGTATGTTTTGATCAGGAAATAACATTATAACACGATATGAAGCTCAAAAAAGGTCAACTACATAATACTGTCCCTTTAACTGAGAGGCTGTAATAAAGATGAGAAGTTTTCAGGTTACAGTTGGTTTTATTCTCTCTGTTGGCGAGTTTGGGATCATACTTCTGGGTTTCCTCTGTGCTGGGTCATTTATTCTGGTCATTTCCACTCAGGTTCTGTCAGGTGAACGTGTCGCCCTACATTAGGGGGTTACGTAGGCTTGTCAGACCTAAAACAGCTAAAACATTTTTTAAATAATTCTGTTCATTTATTTTGTGTTTATTTCTTTTTAAATGTATGTTTTTAGAAGATGTATTCCCTTGTAAAGTTTGAACATAATTCTTGGCCGTGTGTTTGGGTTAAAGTGTTTAGTGTCGCCGACACCGAGTTGTGAGTTTTTCTGATCTCATATCTGCCACATGTTTCAACTCAGCAGGGGCTTTGCTTTACAAACGGTGCTCCCACAGCGCTGTGACAGCCCACAGCGCTGTGACAGCCCACAGCGCTGTGACAGCCCACTCTGTACGTTTTTATGAACGGCAGCAGGCTGCTGTGATCTTATCGCCCAGGATGGTTTTTAAACGTCAGGTCCAAACAGTCGGATTGAATTAACTCTGTCTGCCTGTATCTGAATCAACCAGGGCATATTTGAGCAAGGCTCTCGATCTCTTTGGGTTACATTTTAAAAACGTGGTCATCTTACCTACATGGAAAACGTCTCCCCGAATGGGTAGAGGAAAAGAACCTGACCCGGATGGACCTGGAGGTCCAGGAAGACCTGGAGGCCCGGGGCGGCCACTCTCTCCTGGATAACCTCTGTCCCCCTTTTGCCCTGAGCATAAAGAAACAGTCCAGTGAAACAAAACGGAAGAAAAGCTCCCCAAACACTGAGCAGGTATGAGGATTTATTTTACCGGGAGCTCCTCGATCCCCGGTTCTTCCAGGAGGACCTGGAGTCCCCGGTAGTCCAGCCGGCCCCGGAGGTCCAGCCGGTCCTGGGGGCCCTCTGGCTCCTGGCACTGAGGAATGAGGACAAATTTAAAAAATAAATACACTTGGAATGAAATAAATTCAGAAACCTCACAGACGTTCTTTCTGCTGGATGTCTTTAAATAGTGAGAACAAATGTGTTTATGCTACGAAGCTGAAATTGAGAAAATAATTTCAGTTCATCACTGAAATGTTTTATTTCACTGTTGCAATCTGATCATAATAAGAAATCTGAAATGAAAGTCTTTATAATAATTTTTATTTTATCACTAAAGCCCTTAAACAAAGCCTTGAACAAAAATATTATACTGCAGTAGGAAAAAAAATGCAAACTGAAAAACATTTTCTATGCCTTGCATAAGCATATTTTTAGTAAAAATCACTGGCGACACAATTAATTACTTGTGACCTAAATATTTAACTTAAATTACATGGAAGCGGATCTTATTTTTTAACAGATCAGATTCTTAGGGAAATTCAAACTAATTAATTTGTTTCCCTGGGGTGTAAATATGACGTGACACAGCAGTTCACCACACACGATGAAGAGGAAGTAAAATGAATCTAAGAGGCTCACACTGAAATAACTGCAGCTTACAGGGATCACCATCACAAACGTAAATGTGTTTAATTTGCTAAACTCTGCTGAGACTTCACGCCATCTTTCAATAAATTATGTCAACAACAACATATTTAAATTCACTCCTTTAATGTTGTAGATATTGCCAGTTATAAATAATTTTTTTCCTGTTTATTGATTAAGTTGTTTTTTTGTTGTTGTTTTTTTTTAAAGTAGGGAAATAATTACAACATAGAGTCATTTCCTGAAGTGCAAAGTGGAAACTCTGACCTGACTGTCTCATCCAATAAAGATTATTTTAAAAAACAACAAAAACAAAGTCCTACAGACCTGCAGGCTTTTCTTCACTGCAAAAACACAAAATCTTACCAAATATTTTTGATCCCGTTTCTGGTGTAAATATTTAAGTACACTTCAAATGAGACAAAACTTAACCTGGAAGGAACTTTTAAGCAACAAATAAGAGCTTGTTTTAAGTAAAATATCCCTTAATATAGATGAAAAAGTACCAATTCTACTAGCAGATGATTTCACTTGTAACACGGGGAAAATATCTTTTTATCAATATTGATAATTATTTACTTAAAAGAAGCTCCTATATCTTGCTGAAAAGGTTCAAGTATACTACGAAGATATTTACATTAGAAACTGGACCAAAAATACTTGGTAACATTTCATGCTTTTGCAATGTTTTAATAAAAAAAATATATATTTTAGACGTTTTTAGTAGATCAATCCATGAGGAGTGTAAGCTCCGAAGACATTTCATTGCTTGAAAAAAATGTGGAAAAGGTTTGATTGGAAACGGTGACGTTCAATGAATAAATGCTGAAGCTAAACATTTCCAGACAGTTCTTAAACGTCTGCACTTGTATGCTTGTCTCTCTGAGATGTGCTGACACCTGGTGGCAGGTACGGCGGCGGAGTGGCTCGACGCGTGTCCACCTCATTTCCTGTTGAGCCGTCTGGTAATCTGACCTCAGGAAATGATCGACCCTTCTCCAACAGTTTGATCTGGAGTGAAAACAGAAGTCGGCCTGATTGCAATTTTTTTTTTTTATTTTCTTTTAAACAATTTTGATCCTTACCTTTGATTCGACGGCGTTTATTCTGCTGCTCATGTCGTTGAAGCTGGTGCAGTTCATGCATTCTGCAAGAAGGCAAGAAAAAAAGGCACACAGACGAGTTTAAATCTCCTCCAGCTGCGTCTTGTCTCTTTCATCCCTGGCAGCATCAACTGCATGTCATTATGTCACGGTGCAAACAAAGCCAAGTTACACAAGAACAATAGTCGTGCGGCCAAACCTCAGGAACCTTCAAGTCATGTCATTATCGTATCCGCTCTCATGGACAGATGTTCTAGAGAGTTTGTTTGCTTTCTGTCTGTCCCTCCTGCAGTGACAGCCGTTATGGCGGGCCACTCAACACGACTTTATCCTTTTGGAAAAACTGCAGCAGAACTGACAGCTGGTAATGTAGATGTGAGAATAAAAATGTTTCATTTCGCATCATGGAAAAAGTCTCCTTTTAGTTTTAGGAAAAAAATATTCCACATCCAAGATGACACATGAGAACTTTTTCTTTTTTTTTTTTTTTTTTTTTTGGAAACCCACCCAAAAAAACCCTAGCACCCCGCTCCTTTTTAAAAAGTTCTTTT